TTATGAACTCATGAACTCATGAACTTGTGAACTTATGAACACATCAACATTTTACGCATGATTTTATGAAAGAATTCACGAACATATACAATAAACTTATGAAAACTTTAAAGGTTTTGAACTCATAAATAAACTCATAACCACATGATCTCATGAAATTAATATCCCATGATATCATAAAAATGATATCCTATGATATCATGAAATTAATATCCCATGATATCATGAAATTTATATCCCATGATACCATGAAATTTATATCCCATGATATCATGAAAGGAACTGAGTTTTTACCACAAAGTCTGATGTTTTAATCACTGTATTTCTGCAATACGATGTGACAGATCTTAGATATTTCAAACTATGAATTCTGGGAGATCAAATATTCTAAGTTTGAAATATCAAAGGTTTATGCCATAAGGTTACAATGATATAGGGGTTAGAAAATTTGATTTTGTGGCAAAAACTCACTTCCTTTATATCCTCTGATATCATGAAATTGATATCCCATGATATCATGAAATTGATATCCCATGATATCATGAAATTGATATCCCATGATATCATGAAATTGATATCCCATGATATCATGAAATTAATATCCCATGATATCATAAAATTTATATCCCATGATATCGTGAAATTTATATCCCATGATCTCATGTTCTCATACACCCGTGATCTCACGAACTGGATGTCCAACGGTCTAATGAACTTGATATCACATGATCTCATGAATTTGATATCTCATGATTTCATGAACTTGATATCCCAATAACTCATGAACTCATGGAATAATGATGTCATGGACAATGATCTCATCCACTAATGATACATGGACTAATGATCTCATGAACGAATGATATTATGGACTATGATGACATTGACTAATTATCTCTTGGACTCATGAACTCATAACAAATGATCTCATGGACTAATGAACTCATGATCTCATAATTCATAAACTCATGATCCTATGAACTTGAAATCTCAAACTTTCATGTTTTCATGATATAATGATATGTTTAACTTTCTGAAATTATATTTTATAGATGTATCCATTTTGTTTCACCAAGTGTAATTTAACTGTTTTTCAAATGAAAAATTTTGAAATATTTGATCATTTGTCATTTTTACCATGTAACTTCTTTTTATTATATTATAATCTTCGTTTGTAAAATCCTAATTCAACCCTGGGTATGAGATTTTAATTAAATGAAAATATTTGATAATTTTGTTTTAAATATATGAAATTAAATAGATCTAAATGGATTACAAAAGAATAAATGAGCAAGGCATTAAATATTTGCGAAGATGGATAGATTCTGTACTTGCTGTACCGTCTGTACCTTCTGTACCTCATGTACCTCCTGTACCTTCTGTACCTTCTGTACCTCCTGTACCTCCTGAACCTCTTGTACCTTCTGTACCTCCTTGACCTCCTGAACCTCCTGTACCTCCTGTACCTCCTGTACCTCCTGTACCTCCTGTACCTTCTGTACCTCCTGAACCTCCTGTACCTCCTGTACCTACTGTACCTCCTGTATCTCATGTACCTCCTATACCTACTAAATCTCCTGAACCTCCTGTACCTGCAGAAACTTTTGTATTTCCCATATCTTGCAAGTATCCATTTTCTCTGCTCAACGTTTCGCTATTAAAGTTTGAATTGACAAACCTTAAAGTTGAATAGAAAACTTATTAACAAAATACAGTTCCTTTAATACAGAAATAAAGTTTCCACTAAAGGTTTAACTTCTCTTCATATAAGTTTTAAAGGATTATTTACTTATCAAATGATAAAATAATTCTAAAATGGAGAGTGGTAAATAGATAATAAAGAAAATGTAATATTTATTAATCTATGAATTTTCAAGGGCTGATTAGAGTGTTTAATTATGAAAGATCACAGTATTACAATTTCTTTTTAATGATACAATTACGAGTAATCTTATTGTTTTTTAAACATTTTCTTTAGTTTTCAACTGTTTTAAAGGTAAATTATGTATGATGACAACATGAGAAACTNTGAATTATGTATAATGATGTTACATATATTTCGTTAGTTTTCAACTGTTTTAAAGGTGAATTATGTATGATGTTACATATTTTTCGTTTTTAATCGTCGATTTGGATGTGTCAAGAAATTAATTGAACCCTTTAAACGTTGGAAAAATTGAAATTGAGAAAATTGAGAAAAGGAATTGAGTTTTTGCCACAAACTCAAATGTTCTATAAATCCTTATATCTTTGCAACCTGTTGGTGTAAAATTTTCAAATTTCAAATTAGATTATTTGACTGGCAAAATTTAAAGTTTGACATATCTAAGGTCTATGAAATTGGGTTGTAAAGATATAAGGATTGGAAATTCAGAGTTTGTGACAAAGACTCCATTCCTTTTTAATTTCTTTTTCATACTATTCTTTAATTTGAGATCAAATTAGGTATAATAGAAAATACGGTTTTTGATCCATGCAGAGGTGTCAAATTTCTCTGATGTTGTATATTGTAGAATGCTTGCTGATGGCTGATGCAGCTATTTGATTTAGATTGTTCATATTTATCTTACAGGTTGGACAAAAATCACTGCTGAGCGGGGTTTGGAAATGTTGCGAATTCATTGTCAGAATTTCACCATTATAATGTCAAATGGGATAAGAAAGGTTAGGCAAGGAGTGGATATTTTCAATAAAAGAATTCTTGATTCTTGTAAGATTGATTCATCTCGGACAGATTCTTGTACATCGATGACTATTGTTTGTAATATCTGAATGATTTGTTTGGAATTAAATTGATTATTTTACGATCCGAGTTGTATGTTGCAAGTTTCCGAATGTGTGTTGACGTTATGGAAGTATGTACCCCCTTTCATTTTTCGCGAACACTCCCTTTAACAAATTTCTAGCAACGGGCCTACAAACTTTGTTTCCGGATTTCAGTTATTTAGTAAAACAGAAATAACACAAAAACTTTTAAAACTTAAAAGAATTAAACACAATAATTTAAAATGTCGCGAGTCGCAATGAATTTTTGTTATTTATGGTTAGTTCTCCGACAAAATTAGATTAAAATTAATAATTAAAGTGTTTTCTGCTCAGTAGGATGAAAATCCTCTTACATCAAGTTTTTATTAAATATTAACTTTTCTTAGAGAGCTTTTAAAAGGAAAAGAATATAAAAATGTTCATTTTCAACTTCTAAACAGGATTTTCCCCGACATTTTTTTTGTTAAAACTGGATACCTTCATCGATAAACAGATAGGATAATTTAGGTCTCATTCAAGCAAAGCTAAAGGTTTAAACGAAAAAATGAATGGGTAGAAAACGTCAGTTATTAAAACGTCGAATAACAAAACGGCGATGATATAAAACGTCGAATGCTACAAAACATCGAATAACAAAATGTCGAATACTACGTCTACAAAACGGTGACTACTACGAAATGTCACTGTTACAAATGTTACATTATGTCGGGTTAGGTATTTCTGGGCCGAACATCATGTTGCAAATATATCAGGATTAAACTATAAGAGTTTGAGGCAAGTATTTTATTCCTTTTATTGTAATTGTTAAATTTAATAATGTACGAAATAAAATGATGCAGTATATTTAAAGACATAATAACGGGCCTAGCAACCAACTTAGCCAGTAATAAATTGGTTTATTATTTACTTTGACAATATTTTATATATTTATTCCTTTAAAATATGAAAATCTTTCAAAATTTTAAACTTTTAAAAGTTTTACTCAAACTTCAACATTAAATTTTCCTTTAATAGAAGCATATATAGACTAACGGAAACTTGATTTAAATAAAAATTAGAAAAACTGAAGTTTTCACCCATATTTGACACCAGACTGGAATAACGAGACGATTTTAAGGAGACTTTAAGAAGACTTTAAGACGATTTTAAGGAGACTTTAAGGAGATTTTAAGGAGACTTTAAGGAGACTTTATGGAGACTTTAAGGAGACTTTAATGAGACTTTAAGGAGACTTTAAGAAGACTTTAAGATGACTTTAAGGAGACTTTAAGAAGACTTTAAGAAGACTGTAGGAAGACTTTAAGAAGACTTTAAGAAGACTTTAAGGACACTTTAAGAAGACTTTATGGAGACTTGGGTAAAAAAGAGCGCGCAGCACGCGAATTTTTTTCACCTGAAAACCTCAGAAAAGTGTTAAATTAATGAATCAAGACTCTAGACACATTTACTTTATTTTTGATACTTTTTTCGTCGTCGTTATTTAAAAATTTTAAAAAATAGATTCTCAAAAAACGACATTTGATGAATTCTTTCGATGTATTCGTTATTAAGGGTTTCACTGTATCATACATTGCCTGTCACTCATTTAACCCGAGAAAACAAAATGTTTTCTACCTCAATAAAAAATGTTTTCTACCTCAATATTTATCAAATAAAGATTTCAAGGGTACCGTTGTGATTCGGTCATTGTCATCTTTTTGTGGTTGATCATTTTATATTACGTTTACAGTCCCTTTAAAGATTTATTTTATTTAAACCATAGAATGCCATATATAGCAAGGTCTCGTAAAATATAGGGTTAATGGGTTCAACCGTTTCTACGTATATTATATGAAGAATTCAATAATCTGCAAAAAAAATTTAATGTTGTTAAAAATGTTGGTAAATAAATTGAAGGTTTAAGGGACTGATAGTTTTGCGTTTAATAATCTAAATCTGCATATTTTTAAAATGATATAATTCATTCGTACAATTCCTTAATTTTCAAAATAGCACGTACATAAAAATTGCACTGTTAGAAGAGCCTGTTTGTTTCTAATAAAAATGGCCGTATAAAATATACAATATTTTAAAGGATCACAACCTTAGAACAAGAGAAATACAATCTCAAGTTTATGTAAAAGAAATTGAGTCTCTGTCACAAACTCAAATTTTCTAATCCCTATATCTCTGCAACCTGATAGTGTAAACCTTTGACATTTCAATCTTGTGTTATTTGATCTAACAGAATTTATATGTTGAAATATCAGAGGTCTACGCCATTGGGATTAGAAAATCAGAGTTTGTGGCAAAAACTCAATTCCTTTGTTTATCAGAAGGTTCCATTGAATAGGTTCTCTCTATTCTCAGATTGAAGGGAAAGTGGAAAAATGAAAATGCTGTTGAAAAGCATACTGGAGGTTTAAAGGTTCTATTTAACTCTGTGCATCCTCATACTCATAACTCTCTAGTTCCTGAGTGAGTCGTAGAACCTCTTCGGTCTGATTATTCAACCTTCGGGTCAAATCTTCAACCTGATTCTTCGCCTCTTCAAACTTACTTCGGAATTCTTCGCATTCCTGCCTTTTGGTTTTCAGAGACTCCTGGAGAGAGGATTCCAATCCTTGCATTTTTGCTTTCTCTCGTTCAGCTGCATCCACCTGGTTGTTCATCTCATCCCTGTACATTGTCCTTAATTCATCCATCTTCTCCGCATATTCAACCTCCACCTCCTCCCGGAGCACTAACATCTTCTCGACCTTGTCCGACAAGGCTTTTTCCAACCTTTGCTCGTAATCTTCAATCTTTTCATCGTACTCCGCCCTAATCCTGCTAATTTCTCCGTTCAGTTCGTCTCGGAGTTTATCATGATCTTCCTGGAATTTCTGAGACATTTTGTCTGCTTTCTTTCTTTCTTCAAAAAGCAGTCCGTCGTTTTCCGTCCTGCAACTGTCTCTGATCTTTTTATTTTCATCCTCCTTTTCTTTACATTTCTTTTTCAACTCTTCTATTTCTTTTTGATACTTTTTACGCTTCTCCTCCCACTTTTTAGTCTTAACTGAGAACTGTTTCTCCATGTCCTTCTTGAGGAGCTCTATGGCTCCGTCCTGGCTCCCACTGCTGATATTCTCCAATGCAGTTTTCAGTTCCTCCTTCTCCTTCTTCAGTTCTTCGTCCATGTCTTTTCGTAACTTAAAAAATTTCACATATTTTTTAAATTAAAAAATAATAATATAATATACAAAAGTAAAAATGTAAATATTGATCACATGTTCCATGTTCAAAGAGAAGAAACATTTTAACCCGAAAGTGTTCAAATTATTTTTCACCTGTACTTGTAGTTTGTGGATTTCTTCATCTTTTTCCCTGAGAATACCTATACAAGCTTCCTTAATTTGATCATCAACCTTCTCCTTGGACTGTTTCAGCTTCATGTTGTAATCCTTCTCTATCTCGTGAAGTTTCCATTCAAAATCTTCCATTATTGAAACTTCCAGTTCGGAGGCGATTGTTCTATGGAATTCCACCTCGTTACGACAGGAGTTAAGAATTTCGTTTCTCTCCTTATACGCCGCGTCTAGTTGTTCCTCCAGCTCTTTAACTCTATTAGATAATTCAGGATCCTTACATACCTCAGGTTCATCGGTAAACTTGACACTTTTTTTGGGTTTCGAAGATTGGGCATCGGCGAGTTTTCTCTTTAGCTCATCTACTTGGATCTGAAGATCTTCCACCTGTTTACTGCTAGTTCCTGGTCTACAATTCTCCATAGCTGTGATTGTTCTAGACTTGTTGAGTAGTTCATCTGATAGTTGAGCATTCTTCTCTTTTATCTGTCCCAGGTCGGACTCGGATATACGAAGCTTCTCCACAGCAGAGTTACAATCTGTTTTAGATCTGCTCAACTGAGAAGTTAGTTTTTCAATCTCAGAGGTTCGAGATTCTAGATCTTTCTGCAGGGATTCAAAGTTTGTTTTGAGTTCATCTAACTCCTTCTCGTTCCCAGGGAGCCCGTTCTCTAACTCATGAGTTCCACCTAAGGATCCGTTCTTTTCTAATCGCTCAACCATCTTTTTCAACTCACTTTGAACCTTGGATGGTTTACTCTCTTTTGCATTCTTTTTCAAATCCTTTTCAATTATTTTCAAGGTTTTTGTCAGATCATCCTTTTCTTTTCTTAACTCCATGTTTTCCTTGTGAAGCTTGGAAAGTTCATCTTTGGATTTTTTATCTCCAGGTTGTCCACTTGCACTGGACAGTTTTTGCACACTGCTCTCGGCTTCAGCAAGTTTCTTTGTTAGTTCAGTAACAGTTTTCTCCTGTTCTTTAATCTTATTCTCCAATCCTAATTTATCCTTCTCTAGTTCGGAAACCTTCTTTCCTAGACTAGACTTGTCCGTCTCTAACTGAGAAATCCTTGTGTCAAGATCGTATTTATGTTTCTCTAGTTGTGTTATTCTATCACTGAGCACCTTAGATTTATCATCTTTTTGCATGGATTGAAATTGTTTCTCTTTCTCCTCCAGACACGTTTTAGTTCTACTCTGTTCAGACCTGGAGCTTTTCAAATCTTTCTCTAACTTTTGAACTTCGGATTCCAGAACGGATATCCGATTGTTTAAGGTTTCTTTCTCCTCTGATAATGATAATATTTTATCTCCGGTAGTTTTCTCGTTCATTTTTAGCTGATCCTTTCCTTTTTTAACATTTATCTCAAGCTCTTTATACTTAGTTTTTAGCTCAGCTAGGGTAAGGTTTAATTCCTCGTTTTTTTCACTCAGCTCCTTCTTGATGATATCCGTCTTTTCAAGTTCTTTTATTTTTTCACTTAGACATATCTTTTCTTTGTTAAGCTCATCCATTCTGGAAGCTATTGTTTGTTTTTCTTTGTTCACATTTTCCAACTCCATTTTCATTTTCTCCTTTTCATATTTTCCAAAATGATTAGATTTCTTCTCAGTTTCTAGTTTATTCAATACCTCTTTCAACTTATTCCTTTCCTTCTCCAATTCTTCAATTTGTTTCTTAGATTTATCACAAGTAAGGGTTATCTCTCTCTTCTCCTTCTCGAGTTTAGAAATATCCGACTGTTTTCCAACAATTCCTGTTCTCAGATTTTCAATATCAATCTTTAGTTCTGTAACTATTTGTATTCTCTCCTCAACTGCCTGCTTTATATCACATTCTAGTTTCCTCTCCTTGATTTCAGACACTTGTCTTAGATCAAACAGTTCTTGATCCTTCTCTTCAATCTTCTTATCCTTCTTCTCCATTTCAGCAGACAGAGCCTTCTCCTTCTCACTGGAGATAGATTCTACCTTCCTGCTCAGCTCCTGTTTCTCACTGGAGGATTTCTTCAAATCTGATTTCAGGTTGTCAATCGTCTTCCGTAGTGCGGAGACATCATCACTGTTCTTTCTCTCGAGGTTAGATTTCTCCGTCTCCAGGTCTTTTATTTTAAAGTTTGCATCTCTGAGTTTCTGTTCCAGCTTTGACTTCTCCTGTTCAACTTTAGATCGTTCCTCTTGGAACTCTTCCTTTACTGAGCTAATATCGTCTGTAAGGTTTTCAATAGTTTCCTGTAAAGAATATTTATCCTTGATTACACTCTCTAGGTCTGATTGAACGCTGTCATGCTTTCTTCGCCAGGATTCAGCATTTCTTCGACCCTAAACAAAAGTACGTAAATTATCTAAAATTGAGTCTTGAGCGTTTTCTTATTGGTGTGTTTAGATGGGGTGGAAGGAAGGGGGGGGGGAAGCTAAGAGATGATGAAATGTTTTGAAATATAAAACGACTTAAATGTTTTTTTTTCCCCATTCTGAATTCTTAAGATAGTTTTACTCAGAGTTGGAACCAGGTCAAATATTTTATAACATTTCTTCGATTAATCTGTGACACGTTGCTGTAAAAAATTCTTGTTATCTTTCCATCATCAAATTCTACAGTTTTCTAGCAGAAATTCAAGGATTAATAAATATTTTAGAACCTATTTACCTCGCTGATTTTTGCCTCCATTTCTTCTATTGATTTCTCGTAGGTATCAGTCTCATTCTTAGCCCAGACCTTGTATCTATTAAACTCCTTCTCCATAGAGGAGAGTTTAGTGTTGAGAGTTCTGCACTCTACTTCCTTCTTCTCAAGATCAGTTTTGATTTCCTCAATATAGAACTTAGCCTTGCTGTTCTCCTGCTCCAACCTTGTCATCGTTTTCTTGCTCTCTACTGCAGCTTTATCAAACTGTAGTTTCAACTTATCCATCTTCTCCTCCCACTCTTTCTTCTCCTCCTTCTCTCTGGTGGCAACAGAGGTCTTTCTCATCTTCTCCGTCTTAGCTGCAGATCTTCTTTCTTCTTCGTGCTTCTCCAGTTTAACTTCCATCTCTTTCATCCGTCCAAGTATCTCCTCTTCGACCCGTTTCTTTAGTTCTATAGTTTGAAGGTGGGTTTGGATATCTGATTCTCGTTTTCTGTTATCTATCTTCATTTTTTCAATCTCCTCCTCCAGGCTGGATTTCGCCTTTTCTAACTCTTCAATCAGGTGTTTCTCTTTCTCGAGATTCTCAGTGACCTGTTTATTGGCCGTTAAACTTTTTGTGAGAGACGCTTCTAGTTTCTTTATTTCAACAGCTTTGTTCGCCTCGAATTCCTCGAGGTTTCTACGAAGTTCCTTTATCTCCGCATGCATAGATTGGATCTTATTAATCCCGTCCTTTTTCTCGCTCTCAACCCTGCTCAGCTCCTTCTGCATTTTTGCTATCTTCTCCGCAGCGTTGGCCTGATCAATCCTTAATCTTGAGTTTTCGGATTTTAGATCAATATCCGAACCAGACTGTTGTCGTGTCATATCCTTAAACAATGATATTTGTATGTACGTCTACATATTTGAATTTTAAAAATGTAGTTTAAACGATTTTAAGACGAATTCCTGTCGGTCAAAATATTGAAGTTTGAAAAATTGACTGATTTGATAGATTGCAACATGTTTTCTCAAAATATTGAAAGCTCTACCGAAATATCAAACGGGCAATTTAAAGGTTAAAAAAGGGCCGGAAGGAAGGGATAGATCAAATCTACGAGGAGAGGCGGTGGAGATCCTGCAGAAGGTTAGAAAATGTCGAGAATATGCAAAACGTAGAATAAGCTTGAAAGAAAGTATTTCTGAAAAGGACGGAAAACTAGAAAAAAGAAAGAATTACTACAGTGATAACTACAAAACTCTGGAATAGGAAAACGACATTAAAGCAATATTAAAGGGCATTTTATGTAGTTACACAGGAAATAGCTCTACTATGAAGTTGTTAAATCACTTATTATGTGAAATGGGTCTGTTTTTACTGCACAATTGTTGTGCCTCATGTTCATTGGACTATTTAAAGTCATAACTTGAGTCTAAAAGTCGATTTCTTATGGTAGATATAAGAAGAAAGAAGAACTAGAACAACATTAAATAAAATAGAAAGTAGATAGGAAAGAAGAAACACTAAAAAGAAAGCTAGAAAGGACTGAAGAGAACTGGAACGTAACTTGCATTAAATTGAAGAATTATACTCTTGCTAAATTAAATCATGGTCGAACCTGCAGGTTTTGGATCTGGTTTGTCAGTCTGCTGATCTCGGAGTTTAAACTATTCATCCTACTCCTAGACTCTTGGAGTTCTGCTTCTTTCTCCGCTAATTCCTCTCCTGTATTCTAAATATACAAGATATAAAAACTAAACCTTAACTTGACAAAATTAACACTGTATTTCCTGAAAAGAAAACATTCTTTAAAGAAAATCCAATCTCTTTGCCTTTCACCAGAGGCAGGAAAAGGTAGAAAACATAAGAATAGATGAAAGAATTCTGAAGTTTACTATAGAACAGAGGATTTGATGATACTGGGATACATGTAGGATACTTAGATACATGCAGGATACTGGGACACATGTAGGATACTATCCAGGATACTGAGATACATGTAGGATACTATCCAGGATACTGAGATACATGTAGGATACTAAGATACATGTAGGATACTGGGATACATGTAGGATACTGAGATACATGTAGGATACTGAGATACATGTAGGATACTGAGATACATGTAGGATACTGGGACACATGTAGAATACTATCCAGGATACTGAGATACATGTAGGATACTAAGATACATGTAGGATACTGGGATACATGTAGGATACTGAGATACATGTAGGATACTATTCAGGATACTATAGAACAGAGGATTTGATGATACTGGGATACATGTAGGATACTGGGACACATGTAGGATACTATCCAGGATACTGAGATACATGCAGGATACAAAGATACAATCACTATTTATTTTATCATTATCTTTGGCTAGTAGGATACTAGGCCATAAAGATACTGTGCTACTATTATACTATTTTATTATTATCTTTGAGTAGAATTCTAGGATACTAGACCGAAAATAGACTGTGATACCATTATACTTTATCATATTATTATCTTTGAGTACAATTCTAGGATACTAGGCCAAAAATAGACTGTGATACCATAATACTTAATTCTATTATTATCTTGGAGTAGAATTCTAGGATACTAGGCCAAAAAAAGACTGTGATACCATCATTCTTTTTTAAATTATTATCATTGAGTATAATTCTATCATATTAGATTATCTCCAAATTTTAACGCCAAAATAAAACCATAACACTCAAAGAACTAGTATGTTCCATAAGAAAATTCTTATATTAGCCTTATTTAATTTTTCAAAATGATTCATTCTTCTTAAATTTTCTGATTAGTCCCGAAAATCGTAATTTAGATCGATTGACAATCTAATATGATGTGGGACACCCAGTAGGAGAAATTGGGAATTTAATGGTACACTGGATACATTATGCATTATGCAGCGTGCTAGGAATGGGATATTAGGATAATATAATGCATGGATATAAGAATAGTCTAGGATATCTGGACAGTAAAGTGTACTAGGATACAAGGTTAGAATGCTACCTGTATCATATCCTCTAGGTTGAGAACTTGAACTCGAGCTTCTTCAGATCTTTTTACCAATCCCTCGTTCTCTGCCTTGAGAGCTCCGATCTCCATCTTTAGTTTGAGGTTTAGATCTCCAACATTCTTAGATAGATCTATACTACTCGTCCTGGAAATATCATCAAATAGATCAAATAAGAAGATAGATCTACACTACTCGTCCTGGAAATATCATCAAATAGATTAAATAAGAAGATAGATCTATACTACTCGTCCTGGAAATTATCATCAAATAGATAAAATAAGAAGATAGATCTATACTACTCGTCCTGGAAATTATCATCAAATAGATAAAATAAGAAGTTTTTTTTCTGTAATTTAGAAAGATTTCTTTGATGTTCACGTGCAAATAAAATTCTTAAGAAAATATTATTTAAAAAATGAATCAATAATTCATAAAAATGATTATTAAATAATTAATAATGTGTATTCTTATTGTTATCTTTTGTCACCGAAGGATTTAATTAATTCCTTTTGAATATCCCTTGGTCGAAGAGATAACTAAAATTTAGGCATCAAACACTTATCCAACAACAACACTTATCCAACAACAACAGCTTTTACTAAAACTTATAGTTGAGGGGTTTAAAAATGAATATTAATAAAGAATAAAAATATCGGATATATTTTAAATAATATAATAGAATTAATCTGAACCTGTTTGTCTGATCCCTAGATAGTAAATCTATTTTTGAAATCATCTCTCTCCTCTCTGCATCCAATCTTTCAAGTTCTTTCATCCCTTCTCCCAACCTGGCCACAGCATTATTCCTTTCCCTAGAAAATTACAAGATTGAAGTGACCCTTGGCAATTCCGATATACAATGGTACCCTTGAAACCTTAATCTGACTCGAAAAGTGTTTAATTCTGATAATTCTCCATTGTTTAAAGCAAGAAATTCGCAAGTCACTTTGGCAAAGAAACTGTAAATAAAAACAAGCAGTTGAAAGAAACAAAAACATGGATATCTAATTTATACTTGTTCAGACAAAGTATTTAAGGATACTGTTGTAAATCAGGTATTGGAGGGTCAAGGGAGATTCATAAACGTTCTTCTGACAAAACAAAGCTTTGTGATGAAATTAGTTTGAAAATAAGATAATAAAGTTTTTGCAAAAAAATCACCAGTGGCCGAATTTAAAGAATTTGAGCGGCGGTTTAAATTGAAGCCGCGGCTTAAATATGGTTGGTTCCACTTAAAATTGTATCAAATGTTTCAAGATTTAAACCGGCGCTTAATTTAAACCGGGTTTTTGCGGATTTTGGCGGATTTAAACCGCGGCTCAAATTCTTTAAATTCCATCTCAGAATTGATATTAGAATGATCAAGATTACTCCAGTATAAATATATGACAATCAACCATGAAGCTGTGACCAACAAAGCAAAGTGTAAGAATAGTTAATTCTAAATTCATATTTAGGACATACAGCGTAATAATAAGAATCATCCATGACTATATAAGATTAATGATGATAATATTGACCTGGCTATAGCCGTAGATTCCTGTTGAAGTTTCTCTATATCTCTTCTCTGTTTCTCAACCTTCTTCAGGGTTTGTATTCCTCCTTGTCTCTCCTGTTCAAGCTTCTCAAGGAAATCTCTCTTCTCTCTCTCAGCCTATAAAACCCTTTCTAAACCTTTCAAAAGCGGAATTTGATTTTCTTTAAAGGGACTGTTTGCGTAAATTCAAGTGAGCCGATGAACAAAGATGGCCATGTCCGATTCTAAATGGTATCATTATCATTGAAACCTTTATCTGATCAATAATGTGGAAGATAATGCCGTTCTTTTAGGGTTGAAAGTATCTAATTCTGATAGTTTTTATGTGTTTTTCTACAGTCGAATTATGCCCCAGTTACTTTTGTAGAGAAACCAAAAAATAAAATAATCAGTTTTTAAATCTTAAACATGGATATCTAATTCATACTTGAACAGGCAATGCTTTTTAAGGGTACCGTTGTGAATCGGGCAATGCGATCTTTGCATGGAGGATCACTTGAAATTACCCTTAAACTCTCTTTAAAGAGTTGTTAACCTCAATAATCTTCTTCTGGTACTCCATCCTCTCTCCCTCCAGCTTACTGATCTTGTTACTCTGGTTTACAACCAAGGATCCCAGTTCCTCTTTGTCCCTAGGACCACGCAACAAATTATTATAACATTTCTCATACTTAAAAATTCAATGATATTTACATTTATATCAATTTTATATTTTAAAATAAAGAGTTTAAATAAGAAAGTTGTTGATGCCTGATAACACTTTGAATAAAGGCTTTGGACTTCTTAACTTGATCTACAAAATCTGTTTCTTCTCTCTCTAGTAGGTTCATAAAACTTTGCATGTCACTCCCACCATTCATATTGAAAGGAAGTGGGGAATAGTTTACTCCAGGTGGAGCACTAATCTTCCTATCTCCTGGTCTAGTAAGAGATACGCCTCGAACCGGGGAAGGACTTCGAAGTTTGGTTTCTCCGAATTTGATGATTTTATTATCCTCCATTTTTTCAGGAGGACGCTTAAAAAAACTAGAGGAGGGTTGGACTGGGAGAGACATTTTCCTTCCATTTGCAGGACTGGCAGGGACTGGGGGAGGGGGGATAGAGGGAGGAGGGCCTGGAAAAGTTATTGGAGAGAGGGTTCGATTCATGGGTGGAGGAGGACGAGAGAGGGGAGGAGGAGGCCGGGATGGAGGCCTGCTGGCCATGTTTGTGTTTTTCTCCCCTTCCTGGTTGTAATTGTAGTTGTCCTGGAGTGTATCCGGGTAGCTTGAGAACTGAAGAGATGAATCTTCTGTCCAGGGAGCTCCAGGTACAATCCCACCTAGAGATACACAAGGTTCTGATTAACAAAATATCACTTTTATCACCAATCCTTACAAACATTAAACGTAAGGAAGGTCAGAGGAAAACTACAGAAGATATTCATTAGAATTATTACACCTCCTGCCTCCTCATTTTTGGCCAGAAAATTGATCTCAACTGCTTTCCTTTTGTCCCTACGCTGACCGGTCCGCAGTAGCTAGTACCTGCCTCCAACCTTATCAGCTGATACACACACTCATTCAACTTATTCATGTACATTGTACAACTAGGAACATTGTACATAAACTAATACTTGTACAAAGGAACCGAACACTCGCAACAAGCTCTAATTTTCTAATGTGCATTGGAAAATTAAAAAGAGTTGGTTGTCAGTACAATCCTATAATACTTGAAAATAAAATAGAGAATAAAAGAATGTTTGAATTTCTTCTTGTGAATGTATCCGGGGCATGTTTTTTTAGCATTTAAGAAATACACACTAAAACTTCAAAATTCCGGAAGTTAGGATACAATAACCGGAAATAGCAGTACATGTTTGCTATAACTCGTTAAGATACATTTTGGCACAGGATTCGATACAGGAAAATATGTGGATAAAACACAGAATGTGATACAGGATACGAAACAAGATAGGATACAGAAAGGAAACAGGATAGGATACAGTATAGAATGTAGAATAGGAAACTGGATATAATACAACATAGGATACATGATAGGATACAGGACAGGATACAGGTTAGGATACATGATAGGATACAGAATAAGATACAGGATAAGATATATGATAGGACACAGAATAGGATACATGATAAATACAGGAAAGAATACAGAATAGGATACAGGATAGGATACAGGAAAGAATAGATAAATGGATAGATTTAAACATTATAAAGTCTTCCTCAGTCTTTATTTGTAATCATGTATATACAATATACATTGTACAGTGTACAGTGTACACTGTACAGTTTACATACATAATGATTCAACTGATAGCTAGTATCAAAGAATTATAATGTAATGCCTTATTACCTTGGCTAGTATAGTATACAGAAATGAGAGTATACATCTATTTACTTTGGATACGGGATATTGGGTACAAAATTTACATTTCATCTTAATACATGAAAAAATATAATATTGATGGGAAACGGGAGAATATTATATCTAAGTTTGAATAGAACGCAGAAATATGATAAAAACCCATTTCTGCATCAAATTAAAATTTGACAAGAAAATTAATGAAGATGAGAGGAAGTCGGAGATTGAAAGGTTTTAGAAATAATTAATGAAGTAATAGGAAAATAGTTTCCGCCATCATTTCTGATGGTTTCATTATAAATAATAAGCATAGATGTTGAAATTGTTTGTAATCAATGGCGGGGCCTAGTGTTACATTTCTTTTCAATATATTTTCAATAATGCAAATCATGATAATAAATTCCAATTTTTTATTAATGTATTTATATTTTCATTTTTTTTTGTATTTTTAAAAACACTTCTTTAAGCATACTCCGCAATAATGCCTGTAGTTTAAGATTAATTTTATTTTTAAGTAGTTTATAGTTCTGATTCCTGCAATATGGTTCTACCTGATTCATTTATCTTTGATCTAAGTTGTGAATCCTCTCTCAAATAGTTTCTATTAGAAGGGGATTCTAATAAAACCACACTGCTCTCAGATCTATTCAAACCTGTTTCTCCAGATTCAACCGGAATCATTTCCAACCTAGGGACTAAACAGGGACCAAGAGAACTACTCATCTCAGCAGATGAGCTGAGAAGAGAATCTGATAAGTACGAACCACTCACGTCACTCACACCTGACGAAGTAGTCGATCCTTCACTAATTTTCCTCCCATTTTGGTCTTTATCCGTCTCCTCCTCTTTCTCAACCTCGTACTTCTCAGGTTCAGTGGTTTCATCCTCGATAATATCTCGGGATGGACTAAAAGCTTTCCAGAGCAGAGCTGCTGGTTTCTTTAAACTTAGATAGGAGAAAACACCCATCCTATCCGAATGGATATTAAACGCAGAGTAAGGAAGTGATTTTTGTTTGTGTTTTCTTAGTGAGGCCTTTCAACACACTGTCTTAATGTTTCCTATAGGGAAATAATTAGTCTTTGTTGACTAGAGAGAGAAATGATTCTCTTTGTTTTCTCGAGTTTTAGATGATTACTTCTACCTCTGTAGTTTGCAAAGAACTGAGAATATTAATTTGAAAGTTCAACCTAATTCCTACAAAGACGACGAAGAAAAAGCACAGACACGCGGTTTATCTGCGCAGATGCATTCATCTCAATATAAATCGTTCTGTCAGGTTTAATATTTTCATTTCTCGTTTTTATATACACATCCATACATTTATATCCAGGCTCAAAAAGATTTATTTTCAATAAAATTATTTTTTACATCATGATGTTTTTGCAATTATTTTTTTGCCCTCATGTTTTTTTAAAGCTTCTTAGCCCTGTTTGATATTTTATATTCAAGGTTACAGATTAAACATGTACTGAACCCAAGATCTTCGTTTGCAGGTCAAAACAACCCAACCCTTTCATGACGTTCTCTTGGGAATCCCTGGCCTCATTTTTCACCTTCATTATGCAGTCTGAACTTTGAAGCACGCAAGAATATACATATAAACATATTTTAGTTTCATCAACTAATTTTTCAGTCTGTAAAATATTCAAGGTTCAGACAAAGTTTTACTTAGAAATTACGAAAACAAGAAAATTTTACCCTGAACTTTCAGCAGAGAAAAATGTAAAGTTTACAACTTTACATATATGCATTACTTGGGATCCTTGAGAAAGTTATCTAAAATCTTAGAAATTTATAATTTGAAATAATTTCATCCTTGCTTTTCATGCAAAGAATTGTCATGCTCTTTTGCAAATAAATACAGGGTGAGTCAAAAAAACTGTGATTTGCGGCGCCTTGTGCAAAATTGTACCTTTTTTTGTGCAACTCTCCTGTATAGTGTTTTTTCAATATTTTTTGAAAATTTGTATTTTTTTTGGTACTCCAATGGCCCTAAAGAAAATCCGCGAATCTTTTTTTTCTCTAAAAATCAAAAGTTCAGAAAAGCAAAAATGTGCATTCATATTATTTCTCTCTAAGTCTAAAATTTTATTAAGATTGAATCACAGAATCACTGAAAATTTGCAAAATTGTAATAAGCAAATTTGCAATTTTCAGTTCAACATTAGCCATCTCCTTTAATTTACTCATTAATCTAAATCCTGAGGATAAATTAATATAAATCTGGCAACACCACTTAGGGGGCGGGGACTAGAAGTGCACCCCTCTCTCCTCCAGTGGTATTAACCCCCCCCCCATCCCTCTCAACCATTTGCTCAATTTCTGGATTCTTTGAAAGTTTTCTCGATATTTGACAGCTCAAACTTAGTTTATAATCTATATTTAACAAAAGGCAAATAAATTTAAATAAACCAGCTAAAATATCAACAATAATTGACGTATAGAGAATCAAAGAACATCTGCCGCTATATTGCATAAAACAAATCAAATTTAATTTTTTTTTATGGATATCTATCCTTCGTTAAATTAACGACATTTTCTTTAAATGGGCTCAACCTTGACTCCACCTCTTGCATCCTCGCCCCTGTTTAACTTTTTGTCCCCCCCCCTCCTTCCCTTTGTAACAGACTTAAATTTTCTAATCCCTTTATCTCTAAAAATCTGATAGTGTAAATCTTTGAAATATCAAGCTTAGATCATTTGGTCTAACAGAATTTTAGTTTTAAATATCTATGGTCTACGATATTAGGTTGCAAAGATATAGGGATTAGAATCAAAGTTTGTGGCAAAGACTTGATTCCTCAATGTCATATTAAACACTATCCTATTTAAACGCAAACTCTTTTGAAAATTCATAATTCCTCTTCATTTTCTTTTTAAAATTTTACTTCTCTTTACTTTTCTGGTTTAAAGAATAAAATACAATTTTCATAAAATTTGAATAAATTATTTAACAAAATTTTCTCACATTTTGCAATTTTAAGAATAATGCGGAGAAAACTAAAAAAATAATGGCGACTAAGTCTCAGAAAATATAAAAACATAAAATATTCATTGAAAAGAAAAAATAATTTAGAAATTCATGGTATTGAGTTTCTCTTTTTTATGTTTTGAGTGATTCATTTCTTGCAGAAAATCTTGATGGTAAGAAAAGAAAATAATCCGTTGAGATATTTTTGGGATGCATGCAAGAATAAAGAACCTATTAAACCATTTATATCTGAGAACTACTGGAAACCAACTAAGCTATTTATATCTGAGAACTAATGGAAACCTACAAAGCTATTTACATCTGAGAACTGATGGAAACCAACTAAGCTATTTATATTTGAGAACGGACAGAAACCTACAAAGCTATTTATATCTGAGAACCAATGGAAACTAGCTAAGCTATTTTATATCTCAGAACTAATGGAAACCAACTAAACCATTTATATCTGAGAACTAATGGAAACTAACTAAGCTATTTATGTCTGAGAACTAATGGAAACCAACTAAGCTATTTACATCTGAGAACTGATGGAAACTTACAAAGCTATTTATATCTGAGAACTGATGGAAACCTACTAAACTATTTTTATCTGAGAACTGATGGAAACTTACAAAGCTATTTATATCTGAGAACTAATGGAAACCTACAAAGCTATTTATATCTGAGAACTGATGGAAATTTACAATGCTATTTATATCTGAGAACCAATGGAAACCAACTAAGCTATTTATATCTGAGAACTGATGGAAACCTACAAAGCTATTTATATCTGATAACTGATGGAAATCTACTAAAATATTTATATTTTAGAACTAATTAACACCTGAGAACTGAACTATTTATATCTGAGATCTGATTAAACCCTACTAAACTATTTATATCGGAGAACTGCTGGAAACATACTAAACTATTTATATCGGAGAACTGATGGAAACCTACTAAACTATTTATATCGGAGAACTGATGGAAACCTACTAAACTATTTATGTCTGAGAATAAGACCTAATGGGAAATTAATACACCCATTGATTTGATGGGAAGCATAAAACCTCTTGATAAGAATGCTTAATGGGAAATTAATACACCCATTGATTTGATAAAAATAAGGTTTGATAGGAAATTAATTCACCCATTGATTTGATGGGAAGCATTAAACTCTTGATAAAATAAGGCTTTATGGTAAATTAATGCCCCCATTGATTTGATGGGAAGCATAAAACCACTTGATAAGAATGCTTAATGGGAAATTAATACACCTATTGATTTGATGGGAAGCATAAAACCTCTTGATAAGAATAAGGCAAATGTGAAATTAATACACCCATTGATTTGATAAAAATAGGTCTGATGAGAAATTAATACACCCATTGATTTGATGGGAAGCAAAAAGCTTCTGATAAGAATAAGGCGTAATGGGAAATTAATACATCGATTGATTTGGTGGGAAGCAAAAAACTTCTGATAAGAATAAGGCGTAATGGGAAATTAATACATCCATTGATTTGATGGGAAGCACAAAACTTCTGATAAGAATAAAGCTTAATGGGAAATTAATACATCCATTGATTTGAATAAAAGACAAAATTAGAATGGAAAGAAAAGAATCCAGAATCTGGATAATATTTAAACTTTTCAATCATACAGAATTTAAATGTAGGATATCAGAAAACGTGTAGAATTGCATTCAAACTATATATACGTTAATAACCAGAAAACTATGAAATAGAAAGACGACTTTTAGAATTAAGAAATAACTTAATTAAGTGTAATGAGCATGAGACACAGCAATTGTACACTGTACAGACTCATTTCACTAAATGGGTGGTTTAATAAGTACCTAAAATAACTATTTTCTTTGTAACAACATGTAATGTCGTCTTCCTAATCCGTTTTTTTCAGGTTAGTAGGTCAATATTAAACCAGTTCAGCTGGTATATGAATTTAGAATTTTATATCAGAATTTTATATTAGAATTTATAAAGAAGACTTTCGGAAGGTTTTCTTTATTAATTTCCGTCTTTTTCCTATCTTAATATTAAACCTGGATTCATTCTATGCTCTGAATCATAACATAATCTTATTTAGCTGAATCCTCTTCAGCAAAAGTTTAAGATTTATAAAAAATAGATGAATAAATTTCTACATGACAGTTGAATTATAAAAAATACATTACGTAACGTAAAATATCAAACATTTAACATCTAAACGATAGGTTTAAAAGGTTTAAATTTGCACTCTATGGTCTCCAAAAATAAAGAAACGATTTTTTATTTGAAGAAATAATAGAAAGCAAAACATGACTCGTATTTGAAACATTGTCACATCATTACAGGCACTTTACAGTTGATGGTGGGTAAGAAAGAAAGTGCGCAAAATACTTTTACGCCTTAAAACTACATCGGAATACATGTTTACCCTTACATCATATCATTCCTAATACATTTCTCAAACTAGAATATTTTATACAATGGGACTCAAAAACTGTGGAATTGGAAGACGACATTTAATCAATTTTAATATTATATACCCTTCACTATTTAAAATCATAAAAATCGTTCTTTTTTAAAAATGTCTCAAGTATTATGTTATGCGTTAGTCATTCAAAAAACGAGTGAATATTACACGTCAGGAGTTAGGCTATTCTTTTTTGTGTAAATTATAGATTTTATAGTAAATTAGATACATATATATTTACGAGCATATTGCCAGTTTAAAAGTTTTTTATGTATAAATGTGCATGTTCAGATATTTTTTATATTTGACTTATTTAAGTAGTTGGTTTATTCGACAACAAACTTGATATTCGTGAATATATTCTACTATGGACACATGCACATGTAGAAGATATATGAGAGAGTAGCGTTTTATGATTGTAGCGTTTTTTAGATAGACCTGAATGTTTATGAACTCAAACATTTTTACATATATACCTCTATAACATAACACTAGTAGTGATCTCTGTTGACCTGTCTGTTTTTTAATGTTTGCTCGTTTGATCATATTTCAGGAGTGAATATTAGGGAACTCGATACAAGCACGGATATGTTCTTGACTTGGTGAAATTAAAGATTCTAAGGGAATTTTAGTTTCCACACAAAGCTTGATTCCCAAGCTAGTATATAAGCCATACTGATGAGTCGTTATGGGAGGAAACACTGTGTCTATGAATAA